AATGTGGCTTTTTTTTGCATAGCTCTCTCTTTTATGGTAAGCAAATGTACTGCCAACTTTTCTCTTGCTATGTACACCAGCGAAGGGAACCAGATGCTTCGTGTTTTCCTCTGAAATGTATCTGAATGTTGTTTTTTGTTTAGTATTTCGGAGGGAGGGCTGGCTTAGAGACAGCATTTCATAAATCCAGTCCTCACTGCACGCTGTTTCCCAACTTATGGTGGGTCCTGGCTGTGGCTCCTGGCTGGATTTTCGGTCTCTCCTCACACAACGTGGCAGCAGCCCCTGAGGCGCTGAGGGGACGATCCCCAGCTGTCCCACTCCCAGTGGGGCACAGTTGCCACCAGGGGAGACCCCACTGGAGGGGTCCCCGGTGATGTGCAGTGAAAGGTGTGGGGCTGGGCAGGCTCATCCCACTGACTTCTTGCACAACAGAGCATCTACAGCCTGGCCACCTGCAATGGCCACAGCTCACAGGGAAGCTCTGGGATCAGACAGGACACATCTCAGGAGAAAAACCCCCAGTTCAGGGATGTGTTTTGCTGCTTGTGGGGAGTGACAGGTGTGGATTTGCCTGGTGAGTGCTGATCTGTCTCTGGAAGTGGAGGGGTTTCACTCATCATGCTCGAGGACACAGGGGCCGTATGTGGCTGGCTGTGCCCACCCCTCTTTACCGTGTGGCTTAGAGCTGGTGTTCTGCATGGTGGGGGCTGCTCCTCTTTCTGTCCATGCAGGGTCTGAGCTGTTGAAGCCCACCCAATAAATTCTTGATGTGCAAAAAAATCAAGCAGTCCTGGGCAAGATTGTCAAAAATACCCGTGCCAACAGGGCACTTTTGGCCATTTTAAAAGATTCTTTCCCTCTACCTCCATTTGTAGTTCTGCTGCTATTTTTATAATCACTCTTCTGCTTTCAACTGCTTATCTTCCTTAGCTTTTCTTCTTCTTTTCACACTTCATGCCCTAAAATCTTTTCATCACTTTTTTTTTTATTATCTTTTTTGGAGGGGGGCTTGATTGGGCTTCATTTCTTCTCCTCTGTCAGATTTATGTGAGTTGTCAAGTCCAGCAGCCGTTTGTCTCTGCCTGATGACAGACTTGCTTTCCCCCACTTCCCCACGCCCCCCCCAGTCAGATTCATGGTTGTTCTTTAAGGCCCTTTAATATTTTAATGCTCTGACTATAAATTCCATTTTCTCTAAGCTTCAATCCTTCTGTGGGCCTTCCCGTGGAGGGTCGGCAGCTGCCGCCCCCACCCCTGCTCGCCAGCGTGATTTGCAGTGTGTCACAGGCAGCGTTTGGGGTGGCTTTGCTCCGTGCACGGGAGCGGAGGGCAGGGGAGGGGAGCATAGCAGGAATTCTCTTTTCCTTAAGCTCAAACGATCCTTCAAAACTTGACAGGAATTGACTTTTTTTTTTTTTTTTTTGGCTTTCAAGACATGATTTGTTGTGGACTTGTTGTGCTTTTTATTAAAATGCTCTCGTGGAGCGCTTAGAAAGGTTGGCTTTGCACAGCCCCAGCTTCCTCCTTTAATAAATGCAGCCTCGGCTTACAGTTTTTCCCTCTGATGTGTCAGCTGGGGGACTCGCTTTCCATCTCAAATACACCCAGACTGCTTAAATCATCCTTATTTCTCTCACAGGGAGAGAGACTTTTGCTCTCCAAAACTTTTCACGCCCTAAGTTAATAAAACTTCTCCACTGAAAGGGATGGATGTGACACTGTGCTGAGGATTTCATGGCCGAGTGCTGGATTATTGCTGTGGTGTAAAGGGCTCCCCAGCCTTGGTAAGCACATTGAATGTCTTCTTAAAATATGAGGTTGAAATGCATTTGGCAATAGCTATCCCTGAAAGCTGCTGGAAGAGCTCACCCCCTTGCTGGTGAGGAATGCTTCCCAAGGGGCTGCACAGCCCAGGGCTGCTGCTTTGTTGCTCCACACAGCCCATTGGTGAGGTGCCCTGTGCTTCTGTGAAGGCCACTCTGCTTAGGAGTGTGCTTTGAGGGCTGCAAAGAGAGCTGGGCTGGAAGCCAGGGCACAGTTACTCTGTATAAACACGAGAGACCAGGAGGGCAAAAATAGTGCTAGAAATTTGACAGTGTTTGTAAAGAAGTCAACTCTGTTATTAAGCATGAGATTGGCAGCTGATCTGAAGGTGACAAAGCAGCCCTGCACCATGCCAGGAGGGACCTGATAGGAAATTATCAGTAACATCTGGGACCTCTATTTCCTCCGGATTTGTAAACATTTAACCAAGGACATGTTAGCAAAGTCTTTTGCAGCAAACAGTCCTGAGCTACCAGCCTGCGCTGGCTCATCCCGCAGCCCTCCACCCACCGCAGCAGCACAAAGAAGCAGGGCTATATTTCTTCCCTTGATTTTTTTGGCACCAGGGCCAAGGCAGGGGTAGAGCTGCTGAGTGTTTAATTCAGTGCTTTCCATTTCAGATATTAGTGGCACAACTGAATTATGATACAGGAGCCTAGAGAGGAATCATTCGCTCTCAACACATTCAGGATTAGTTATTTTCCTATTAAACTGCTTTAGACATGGTGAGTTTGTTGCCTCAGATGGGTCAGTGCATGTAAAACAGGAGTTGATGGGAAAGCCTAATTCTACCTGATCAGTGTGAGTGACAACAGGGACCTATTGAATTCAATGCAAATTTTGCTATAGATGGGTACAGACCAAAACTCAGGGTCACCCTCTGTACTGACACCACAGGGCTGTGCTGAGCAGCCAAAGTAAGGCTGAAAGCACTCAGCAGGGATCCAGCAGTGGTGGCACTGGCTGCAGCCACCAGGAGTCAGCACTTGGGGGTTCAGCAACAGCTCTCATGGCCTGGTGGGTTTGGCCCATTTGGGGTGTAAAGTGGGAAGGTGTGAACTATCTCAGCTAAGCTACAGTAAACAGAGCAATTCAGCTTCCTTGGGGAGGGGTCGTGAGGAGAGAAGGTGCCTTTACGGGTGCTCGTCGTCATGGTCTGAGCTTGACAGTTATGGAGATGTAAAAGCAACATCCTGCAACATCCACAGGCTCCCCGTGGTTCCTGCAGAGAGGAGGTGGGAGCACCAGCCTCCCTGCCTGCCAAAGTCACTCTCCATGGCTAAGCTGGCACCAGTTTTCGCTGAATCCTGTTGGATGGTTGGTGATAGTGCCAGGCTCCAGGAGACAGAGGAGCTTTTCAGAGAGAGATGGAAGAGAGTGAGGCAACGGGAGGCTCCACTTGCACCTGCCTGCAATTAATTAATTACGAAGCCACTCATTAGCTCAGCCCCATGGCTCCCCTCACTGCCAAGCCCCCAGCTGTCCAGAGAGCAAGTCATTATTTGAAAAGATTTCCTATTAAACCCAAAAGCAAAGAAATATTTCAAAGAAGAAGGGGCAAGGAAAACAGCAAGGGTGCACACACGATTGCAATCAGCTCTTGAGGATGTGCTGGAGCAGTTGGATCCCCATCTTGCAGCAGCCTGAGAATGGTGAAATCGATTTCATTAGCCTGCTCAGCCCCTGATTAGTCTTGTGCCACATAAAACACCCCTGTGGCCCTCACAGTCCAGCCTCTGCTGGCAGTGAGTACCCGCGTGTGCATGGCAAATGCACCCAGACACCCCAGGTCCCACCCCATCCTGCTGGCTGCAAAGCAGTCCCACCCAACTGCAATCCCACCTTTCTGAAAAAAAAAAAACCCAAACAATCCCCTGAAGATTTCAATTTCTCCAAGTGTGTGACTGCCTCCCCTTGGTGCCCAGGAAGCAGCTGCAGCCTAGCTCACAGGTTTTTAACCTCAGCCGGAGCACACATCTGCTTTGCTGCTCGTTTTTCTATTACCTGCTCTCTGCTCCTCGCGGTAGCAGAGGCTCCTCTTAAACCGCAGTGATTTACAGGCGGTGCTACAGCAGGACAGGTCTGACACTGATTGAGTCGCTTATCTGCCGTCTCCGTCCTGCTCTCTGACAGCCTCTCCCCCAGGTATCAATCTGCACATCAGTTCTTTATTCCTGGGTGAGGGGAGAGCTGTCAAGGTTGCAGCTACACTGTCATCTTCATCTAAGCTGCCAGCCACCCTTCATCGCTTAAAGACCCTCTTTAACACACAGGCGCTTTGGGAGGGGGCCACCGTGTTGGAGACAGCAGCAAAATTTCATTTGCTCTCAAGGTGTTCGGGGCTTGATTGATTGGCTCTCATTTGTCAGGGTACCCATACATAAATAAGAGTTTCCAAGCTGTAGGTTCAGCCCCACTGCTTCTCCCTTCTGCAACCCCGTACTGGCTCCTGGCTGCCAGCTGCAGGGTGAGTTGGCAGGGTGTTAGGATCCCTGCGAGACACGAGGTTCCCTCAGGCCTAGGCCACCATCAGGGGGTGGGACAGAGCAGAGGGAGGGTAGAGAAGAAAAGTATGCAGAGCCAGGCTTAGCGCTGGGGTTTGTCAGGAGTCCCCACTGTCTTGTGATGTCCAAGGATGGGACTAAAGCTGAACTGCAGAAAACCCACTATCCCAGTCACTGCCCCCCTTTGCAGGTCTGTGGAAACAGGACAGGGATTTGCCTGGATACCAGCACCTGCACCCTGGTGAGTGGACAGACTGGGACAGGCTGACCCCTACTGTGTGCACTTTAGTTCTAAGTGATGGGGGTTTTTAGCCTAAAACCGCACTCCTCTCTGGGACTGCTGGCAGCACTGGGCAGTGGCACACGGTGAGAATAAGGGACCTCCGTCCACTTTCAGGTTTGCTATCAGGTGCTGCTCTTGGGCCAGAGTAGCTTCCAGCTGTCCCCAGCTCTGAGACGCTGTGTTGAAGCCCTACATCACCTCGATGTGAGAGGCAGCCTGGGGTAATCCAAAGGGATAGGCAGCATATAGCAAAGGAGAGCAATGGGCATGGCCCTTTGTGCCTCTGGCAGTGCCTCGTTTCCTTGGGGTTTCTGCCACCCACAGCCCTCTCAGTTTGGGCTCCTTGTTGCTGCTTTTTCATTAATAAAAAAGCCACTGAAACATAATCTCTACCATAATGTTTATTAAATAGTAATTTTAAAAGGTTTTTATACAAATCATATAAACACAGTTTTTTTTGTTTTGTTTTGTTTTTTACACCGAAGAATCACAGTAAAAGCTCTTTTAAGTCCGTAAGTCCTGGCTCAGCCAGTGAACGATCAAATACCTTGAACTGCAAACCTTGGAGAAGTTCCATTTCTGCATATAATTTCTTAATGGTTTAATTCCCATGCTCACCTCCGGCACCTTCCCACAAAATGAAGTCACCCAGCGCTACAGCCCATTAGCAACATGTCCTCGCCATAGGAAGGGTGTGGAGGCAACAGCCCGTTTAAGCAAAGGCCTTAACACCTTTTTTTTCTTTTTCCGAATTTCACAGAGGGAATTGTGATCAGCAAATCTAATCTATTTGCAGAGGCGGATGCAATGAATTGAATGCACTGATGACTTTCCCCCGCCCTCCCTGTTAAAATTACAATCAAACACAGTTTTCCGTAGAACAGTAAAGCACCCGGCAGAGGTAAGTGAGGTATTGGCTGTGCAGCATTTTCGGCCTTCTCCCACCTGGCAAGCGCACACGTGGGCCCTGCCCCATCTGCAAGGGGCAGGTGGGACACGCAGGGTGGGCGCTTCACTGGGCCCGTGCCACGTTAGTGCCAAGATCAGCAGTACTCTCCTGCCCCAGATCAAGAGATACATTAACACGAGTCAGTCCCACAGAATAAGTCACATACACGATACATACAGAGAATTCACGTGCGTGTGCAAACACACTATTTCTGAATATATGTATATATGAACTCTTCTCTCTGTACGCCTACTAGACACCATAACATCACCTTTTTAATTATATATTTTCACCTATTGTTTGCCTAAGTTGGCTTTTCTAGTGTATGGTCCTTTTCCATTCATCCTTCCCCTCTCCTGTGATGTGAAGGGGATAAAATCATTGAGCAGCAGCAATCCAGCTTTGAAATGGTCTGGTACATTTCCTCTCACTGCCTCTGTTTCTTTTGTACAGTAAAATAACACCCCTGTGGAATTTGTCTGCGAAGAATGCCGAAAGAAATAAGGTGATTCAAAAGGAGAATCAGAGATACATTTACTGCTGTTTCTGTCGGGTGCACAGTGTGAATTAAAAAACCCAAGGCCTTTGTGTGTGCGCGTCTCTGCGTGTGTGTACGAACGACGGATGTTCTGATGACGCAGCTGCTGGTATCTGCTCCCCCAGTACACGCGCGTCTTTCTTACAGCAGAGAAGTCTTTTCTTTTTTTCCTAAAAACTTATTGTCTGAGGGAGCTCTTCGTGAAACACTAGACAAATGTTCCTATTCCCAGAGTACTGAGGAGCAGCTGTGGCACTGCTCATGTGTCCATGCTCATCTCCTCTCCAGATGTTGCTCCTCTCCCCAAACACCTGGCCTCCTGCATAGTGTGTTTGCAGGGGCTGGGCCAACTGAGTTTCACAGCACATCACACCTTTGTCGCTCTGCAGTTAGTGAAGAAAAAAATTCCCTCCCCAACCCCAACTATTTGCCAGGTGAAATGTACAAATCAAGATACATCAAGTATTTGCAAGGAGCCCCTGAAAAAGGAAACCCAGTGTGCTGGAAAGGTTTCTCATTTACGTATGTGCAAGCTAATAGGGGTGATCCACCTGTGCTGAATTGGAAATTAAGACATTGGTTTGGAACCCAGCATTTGAATTCTTTTTCTCCATTCAGTTGTTTTCCTAAGACTCCTCTTCCACAGCACAGTGGTAAGTAGAGAAGCATCAGCTGCCAGACAATGTAGCCAGACCACTTGAAAGCAGAAGGACCAGATTTGTTCTACTGGGCCCTACCCGGCAGAAAGTGGTGAAGAAGAGTGTTTTGCAGGGAAGGATGAAGGCCTCACTTGCTGTTTGATACAGCACTGATCATCAGATGGAGGAAAAATACTTCTTCTAAGGCACTTGTTCAAAGTAAAAAAAAGCACAGCTCATAAATAAAACTTGGGGGTTTTGCTACTGATCAGGAGCAGCGCAGCTTTGCTCCAAAGGGAATGTGGCGGCAGCCATTTGGTCCAGCGGTGCTGGTGGCACCAGTTCACGCCCCCCAGCTCCAGGGAGAAAGGGAGAACTGTGAAAATGAGGGGGGGCCTGTGGGTACCATGGCCAGGCTGTACCATGGGGGCTGTGGGTACGGCTCCAGACTCCTTCCCTGTTCATTTTCTCTCCCTGGCACTTTGGAGAGGCCTTGGCACTGTACCTCAAGTCAAACCCCAAGTGAAGCCCCCTTCCCAAAGCCGTTGCCTAAGCGCCGGACACCTGACAGGCTCTATCTTTTGTTTGCTGCAATTTTCTCATTATAACAAAAAGAAAAATGGCAGGCTCAAGAGGGGTGGGAGATTCAGAGAGAGGCCTTCCTGATGAAGGCATCAGTTGTTGCAATCAAAGATCTGGATTTAATAAATGGCTCTTATTCACAAATCACTTTAAGGCTCTTCAGCTTCTCTCAAAGAGGTGCTTCTACACATAGGGTTTCCTTTCTATTTTATTTCTTAATAATTTCAGAAAGCAGTATTGTTACCATTGACACTAAAGCCAGTATCCCACCTTTCCCCCAGCACCAGGATTAGGAAAGTTGAAGGTAACAACATGCTTCCATTTTCAGGACTGCAAACTGCAGCTTCCTATTCTTAGTGTGAAGTGCACAAATCCCTACAACAATATCTGGATGGAGTCTAAAATGGACAAGGTCTCTGCATGTGTGTGTGTATATGTTATTTCTAAAGAAATCCCTCAGCCTTCTCAGCAACTCACCAGAGAAAGGAGGTGGGAAATAACGATCAACATTTAGTTTCTCACATCCAAAAGGTAAACCAGTCTCCCTCACCACATCCCAGCCACTCGCATCAGCAGAAAATGAAGATGAACCAACAAATGAGGGGCTCATTACCCCCTTTGCCCAGCACAGCCTGGTTTGCAGGAAAACCCACTCAGTCCTGGGAGAGTGCAACCCGCCAGCAGTACCTGGTGGCAGGAGCGACAACTCCCCTCACTCCTCCTGCTCCCCTCATTCCCTGTTATGGCATTCAGTTCCCATAGAAAACAGCAAAAAAATTACCCCCTGCCAGCCCACCTCATGGGGCACAATGCCAAGGGTGATCCCCAGGCACCCATCAGGCTTCCGAGCAGCACTTCTGATGGTTCATCTTGACCTTGTGCTTGATGCCGTCGTACAGTTCGAAGTTGTAGTTCTCCAGCGTGGTGGAGCTCCGTGAGGACAGCCCGGCATACGAGCACGTGCAGTAAAGGAGCAGACCAGCACAGATGGCCCCGAGGAGGACACCGAGGGAGCTCATTGCTATAATGGTCACCAGGATGGGATCCAGGGTGTATAGCCAGCTTTTTTCTTTGTCCAGCTTCGGGGTTCCTGGAGAGTTAGTAGAGAACAGTGTGTCGTTCCTATCCGATCCAAAGTAATCTGCAGTGGAACGGGCACTTATTATCCAGGGATCACTTTTTATTCCCTCTCACCTTTATACATTACTTACTTGGAGCTGTGATGGCTTAAAAAAGATGTAAGTATATATATGGGAGTAGTTCAGCAGGATTCACTAAACCAGGTCTAGAAATACTGTGAAGCACTGAACTACCAAGAAATTTAAGCACTCTGTACACATCAGACAGACCATTTACAGAGCATGCCAGCAATTTACACCCCCTGAAACTCTGGCCCTTCCAGTGCCACTGGGTTCAAAACTATGGGAACAATCTGTCACAGTTCTCAGACTTAATTTTTTTCATTTACAAGTCAAAATGCTATGCAAGCAGCAATTAATGCTTGAAAGATCAGTTTCACTTGTCCTAACACAAATACAATATATTGACTTTGCAAGGTTGCTGGCTGTTGAAAAAGGAAAACAGAAAAAGAAAACGAATATCTTTGTCCAGAATCTAAGCCACCTCATCAGTGTACGTTTTTAAGTGTGTTCAAGCTCTTAACACCTACTAAAGCTGAAATTTGTGAGTAATTGTACCATCTGATACTAAAACACAAGTTGCCACAGCTAAATTGCCCATGTGGCATTTGGGTACCAACCTGGATCATTGTCTTCAAAGTCTTGCTCGGAGCTCGGAAAGTCATCCTCTGTTCTTGGGAAGTTCACTAGAACAACAAAATGGGAAGCACTGTTTGTTAAAAGAGGCCTTTTTGGGGGTGTTATTGCCACTGGTCACTGGATTGTGAAACCAGCCAGAAAAAAAGTTAACAGTTAAAACTACTTCAGTGCTCTTTCTCGTGGAAGGAGGAAGAACTCTTTATTTTCTTCCTTTGGCCCAAGTCAATGAAGACTCTTGCACCTCTGAGAGAATGGGATGTTCCCACTACATCACATTTCATGACCACCAAATGACCAGCTTTTAAGAAGAAAAGAGAGCAAAAAGCAAAGAAACCAGACAACCTGAACAGCACTAAAATATTGCCACTGGTGCCTGCATAATGGCCATAATTCACTGTTAACATACTCCTGGGTATTACCCTTACAACTTTGAATAGGATCTTAGTGCCTTTCATTACTTGCCACTAATGTCGGATCCATTTAGCACACACTCTGTTTCTCATCCTTTCCCATACATTTTACTGGATACAGAGCTTCAATGATCCAGTTCCTCTTTGGGTTTCAGATAAATTCACAGTAATTTGAGGAATTCGTGTGTCATCATTATATGTTTTAATGCAAAAGCTGCTTGAAATTGGGAGAGAGGCAAAGGGGTGTTCATATCTAGGCATTTATGTTAATATTTCTCTGATCCAAGTTCCTTTTAGTGATGACATTTCTTTTTATTGTTCAGCACAGACCAAGGACTAGTAACCAAATGCACATACTATAATCTGAGCAGAAGTAAGCTATTTTCCTGTGCAGTCTTCTATCTCTACGTACAGTTACCATGGCTCTTTTTCACTTTTCCAAAAGAAAATGTCTTTTCATTTCAATCTGCCAAGACTTTTCAAAGCTGACTGTAACTTGGGGTCCTCAGCTGAGAAGGTGTCTTGAAATGATCAGGAATGCAGAAAATCAGGGAGTACTAGAAAGTGATAGAAGTCACACCCTTGAAATAGTTGTGGTTGGAAACCAAGACTACTTTGTGTCTTGTGCAAAAATGGCAAGAAGAGTTTAAAGAGGTTACTTATAAACAACCAAAACCTGAGAGTGTAATTTGTGACTAAAAAAAACATGTGCAAAGAAATGATTCAAAACCTTATGAGAGAATATTTCTGCATATTTGCATGGATATTTAGGACTTGAAAAGGCCTCCTGAATTTTCAAATCCATTTTTTTGCTATCCCAGGCAGCTGTATCAGGCAATCCCTGCCAGCAACATTTCAAGGTTCACTTCCAGAGTGGGGGGCTCTACTGAACACCGTGCTGCCTCAACACCACCTTACACTTGACTGCAGAGATCCTCTGTGCTGGTACTGATGATACCTTCCAAAATACCCATTCCTTGGGCAGAACTGCAACAACACTCAAAGGATTAAGGGATTTCTTTGAATTTTCAAGTGAATCTGGCAACAGGAACACATACAACCCTCCTGATGATGAGTTCTGCTTTTAGTGAGTCACGTAGTTAAACTGACTCAAGGCTGCTGGGAGCTTGTTGAAGAAACATAGGTGCACACTGTCTTCCATAAATCCTCACTTTAGCAGCGAGTTCACATGATTTCTCAACATTTCTCGAACTGACAGGCCCAGATGGCAACATCTTAGGGCTGGGAGAACTGCCTGAGGGCCTCTTGCAAACATTTAGAACCAAACATGTGGAAAAATAACTTGCAAAGCAGTTCACACGTGGAGAGTGCATTGCTAGTCGTCCATTGGAAGACAAGCGGTGAGATTTGCCATCCGTGTCACCCACACAACCCTACAGAAACTGTATGTTGCTCGAAGATGAGCAGAGGTTGAAATCAGGCCACAGTCTGCCCAAGGAGCCCATGTGTGGGGAAAGACTGTTGGAAGTCATTTGCCTTTCCGTATTGTAGCTGCTCTAAATTTTGTATGAAAACAAGCTAGCAATTTGGTCCTTTTGTTGTTTCCCAGGGTAACCTGGAGGGAAAAGCCAGGGAAAAAGAAGTATTGGTTAATTAACACTTTCAAAAGAACACCAGTTTGTCCAGACTAAAAGGAAGGAGCGCTGGGAAAATTTGAAAAGAAAGAACATTTATACAAAAAGCCCAGCCCAGACTCTATTTACTCTTCTAGCAATTTGCTCAATTCCCCATGCTAATATGACTCTTAAGTCCTGCTTAAATGATATCTTCCTCCTTGCCCATTCTCCTTCCTCCTTGGGCCCTCATTCTTCTGTTCCCCACATGCCATTTCATTGCTATTCAACTATATGTTATCACGCAGGGCTCTACACCAGCTTTGGAAAAACATAATTTGACATTTCTTTTTCCATTCTGGGGTTTCTCGAGTCATTAACTGAATCAGCTGGGGCTGTGTGGGTGTCTGTGGGAATTGAAGCTGGTGGTCTCAGTTCAGTTCCTAATGGAGATGATTTAGAATCTAGCCTGTCACAGAATTTAGACTGCTATTTGTCATCAATGAGGCTCCTCTGGAACAAGTCTCAGCAATACTGTCACAAGTGAGGCAGGCCACAGAAAGCAGCCGTCTTGGAAAGGGCTTCCCAGAAAAGCCCTGCAGACTGCTGGGCAGAATGGGAGAAACATGCATCGCTCTCTGTTGTGGAGAGCTGATTCTTTAAAGGGCAGCTTCCAGGTACAATTTACTTTGCATTTTAATGGAGAATATATTGCATCTATTGGAGAAAGGGAGGCAAGAAAGTTAGGGGGAACTGTATTTAAGCATGAAGGAAGAATGCTTTCTCCTGAGTGAAAGGTGCTTTTTAAAGCTGGTGTGCTGAATGATGGCTGTGAGCACCTAGCCAGTCATGCCCAAAAGATGATGTTAGCAATGATGCTGGAAACAGCCTGATGCCAAGAAAGACTGTTATCTGTTGGATCTGAGAGCACTGCCAGCTAAAAATCTAATTTATGGGACCTGAAAAAATGAAAGATTAAATTCTAATCAAAGAAAAGGACTGACTTAAGTACCATGTTTGTATAAACTAACATGGAAGGAGAGCAGGAGAGAATTAGTATTTCCAGAGCTTCAGTGTACATCTGTTTTAAAATAGTAGCAGGGCTGGGAGGGATTGGGCCAGCGCAGATGAGGGAGGCACAAGGGCAGACAAGGTTATCTGGTGTCCCACCATAGACATGTATGTGATTCTTGCAGGAAAGCTCTCCAAACCTGAGCTCAGCATGAGCTCAGCATGTCATAAGGACTGGCATGTATTTCCCATCACTACACATGCAGGATGCCAGCTCTCCTGCACGGGCTTACCAGCAATGCCCACCGCCTCAGGCAGAGACCTCTCCAAAGCAATAGCCCTTGGCTGGTGCAGAGAACACCAAGTCCTGATTGCTGGAACCTGGACACATTCTTCCAAGGTGAATGGCAACCATCAAGAAAAAAAAGTTGCTGTTTCTTTCTAGACTGACATTGTCTGGTTTAAATCCAGGCACTGAGTGCTGCCTCCTCCTGGGTCCCTCCACAGTGGGGCAGAGCTCTATCACACCACATCTCTTTACACACAGGCATTTGTGGGTAGTGGCCACAGCGCCTCTTCGACTCTTTCTGGGTGAACAAAACGAGCACTCAGCAGGAAGTGCCTTTCCCAAACAATATATCGAACTTGCAGAAATTTCCAGCTCTTTTTGTTGCCTGCCCACAGCCACTCTGGCACAGGGTAGCCTGGCCTGGAGAGCACCCAGGATGCACTCCCACCATCCCCATGCTCCTACTCCCCGCTTTCTGCAGGGGTCCATGGGCTCTGGGGCTGAAGGGGATGCACCAGGTGATGGTGGCTTGTGCGCATTGCTACCTACCATCTTTCACTCCACAGTAACATCTGTGGCTGTGACTGTTGAGGTAAAAGAGCAGAACGTGTAGGAGGGAGGAGGAACAACAAATTGGTCTTTCTGGGGAAGTGGTTGATTCCCCACTGTGGAAAGGACCAGAGGGCAGCCAGCTACATGCTCACCCCTCTCTCCTGCTGCTACAACATCCCTCTTGGCCAGTTGCTATCCAGCCCAGAAAGGGGAGCGTAGGAGTGCTTTGCTGCCAAACAGTGCCAACAGTGCCCTGAAACATTAAACACAGCCATATCCAGGAAAACGGGGGCAGAAACTGCCACTTTCCAGCCTTGGCAGGGAGAGACAGAGCTCTGTCTCCACACTCATCCTTGCTTTTCTCTATTTGCTCATTCCCAGTCCTTTTCTCTCTGCAGCAATAGCGTGACTCCAACACACATCATTTTGTTTTGACACAGTCGAGCAGCCATGGTGGCCTCGCCTTGACACCGCTCTGCTTGGCAGCAGTGAAACATTGCTCCTCTGGCTGGGAGCCCCGGGGGCTGGGGGTGACACCTCCCACCCTCAGTGAATGGGGAAACACTTCTCAAAGCAGGAGCATAGGCACCAAGCAGAAACACTCCCTCTGAATCCCTCATTGCTCTATTTCCAGCTGAAAATCCACCTCACTTCTGTCTTCCCCACTCCTCCAGAAACACAGAACTACTTCAGTTTACAGAAGGATTAATCCCTGCCAAATTTCAAATTAAAACAGTGCTTTGGCTACAGCTGAGCATTAAAGAAAGCAAACAAGCAACCACTCCCTGGCCCGGCTGCCTCTGCAGTGCAGGAACCCTTGGACCTGATCCTCAGCCTCGGGGCTGTCCTGGCAGTGGTCAATGGTGCACACCATGGAACCATCTTTTGGGGGGCACCGAGGAGCCTCTTGCACTCCTTGGGCTTCCCATGTGCAGATAACATGTGGAAGTGTGGCTGGGCAGATGAAGACCTCCCACCAAAAGCACTTGGAGACATGAAACCAGGCTTGGTGCAGAGGGGGATGAGAGCAGGCAGCTGTTTCCAGCCCTGGTGCTGCCCTCCAACATGTGGCACCCTGCTCTGCTGCACACATGGGAGATGGCCAAGGTGGCTGCCCAAACAAGGACCCTGCCAAACCCTCTCTGCAGCAGACACGTCCCCTGTTGCAGCCTGATGCCTTCTCCAGTGTGCCCTATTTTTGCACCTCTCCT